CCCCACCCCCCCCCCCCCGCCAGTTTGCTCTTCTCTTTGAAAAGTAAAAGAAAAACTCTTTCATTGTTATACAATCCCTCCCCCCAGGTCCACTCCACTATGCAGCCTTCGTTCTAGACTCCTGTCATGACAATAATACCTAATCATATATTCCTCCTAAACAGTTCTCTTCCTCATCTGTTTCAATGCAGTATACATTATTTATCCCCTCTTTCTCATTCTCCCCTCAACCCCAATGTCAGTCCTGTTTTACAACAGTGGCACTATGCAATATTTGTCCTTTTGTGACTGAGCTATTTCACTCAGCATAATGTCCTCCAGGCTCACCCATTCTGAAGAATATTGCATTAGCTCCTTGTTTCTCAATGCAGTGTCGTATTCCATTGTGTGAATATACCAGAGCTTCTCTATCCATTCGTTTGTTGATGGGTGCTTGGATTGTTTTGCTATTGTGAACAAAGCCACAGCAAACATGGGTGTGCATATATCTGCTTGGGTCGTGGTTATGGTTTCTTTAGGGTAAATTCCAAGTAGTGAAATTGCTGAGCCAAAGCAGTTTCTTTTGACTTTAGCTACCTAGTTTCCTAGATCAGTGTTAACATGCAGCAGGGCAGTTAAACTGGCAGTTGTTAACCTGCAGAGGGCTGGTGTCCTGTGTGTGGGCTAGTGTGACCACTCAGTAGACGAGTGTATGCTGTGGCAGGCCGGGGTCTCACTGACCAGTATTTACTGAGTGTTTGATGCCCACAGGCCTCATTTCACGTAGCTGCAGGCATTATTCCACTTAATCCTCATATCTCCTGGGAACAGGAACCGTCTCCCCTCAGGTGGTAGGGTGACTAGGACACTGAGAGGTCAATGGCCTGCCCAAGGCCAGCTGCAAGGGAGCAAAGCCAGACTTTGACCTGGGCTTGTCCTCCTCTGGGGTGAGTGGCTGACCCTCTGTCCTCAACTTCCTGGAGTGGAGCAAAGGGAAGACACACAGCGCCCACTGACCTCACGGGAAGGGTGTGGAGAGGCTCTGGCGGGGTCCCCAGTGGGCCTGAGCTAGGGGAGGGGATGGGGATGCCTCAAGACTAAAATGTCCCTCCCCACGGCCAACCATTCTCCTATTCTTCCCTCTCTGCCAGCCCACCCCTCACTCCCAAGCAGGTCCCCAAGCTGGGCGGGGGAAGGGGCTGGCATTATCTCCTAAGAAATCAAGGTGTGTACAATCTTTCTTAGAAAGTAAAGACAGAACTTCATAACAGACTTAGGCTCCTCCCTGGCCGTCAAAGTCCCCTGGAGCCGCCCTCAACAACAGAGTGATTAGAAGTGGGAAGTGACCCTAAAAGTCACAGTCATCCCTGGACCACCCCTGCCACCATGTGCACTTGAGAAAACAAAAAAAAAAAAAGAGCAAAGAAAGACCCCCAAGGCCCCAAGAATCCAGAAAGGAAATTTGGAAGTTTAAAGACACTACTGTTACCAAGTTGCCAAGGTGCTACCTCCAGGCAGACTAGAACCACCAATCTCATGGTGAGCAGCCAAATTCTCAACTCTTGCCCTACCTAGAGAGTCCTGAAATCTACAGTAGTCTAGAACAAGTGGGAATAGCCGCTCCCTTTAAAGGGTCTGATCATTTATCTCAGCCCCACGGAGACACCACCCATGACAGTGTCCCCTGTAAACCAGCTCCTCCTTCTCTCTGGTTCCCAGCTCTCCACTAACTGGAGAAAGATTTTGATGTTTCTCACGACGTTACCCAAATCCTCACAACTGGACCAATAGGCAGCATGGGAAGTGGAGGAAAGATTAAAGTTGCCACGAGCTTCATTTCACTTGGGTTCACAATCAATACCTCTGAAAGCAGCAGCCTAGAAATTAAAGAACAACAAAAAAATATTTAAAAAAAAAGAAATCAAATGACATTATACAACCAGAAAAATCTGCTGCAAAAAGACCTCTTGAAAGTGTTAGAAACCAGTGGCGTCACCTTGAAGCCAAGCTGTTCTCTGGCTGTGTGAAGGTGGCAAGTGTCCAAGCCTCTCTGAGCCTCACTTGTTAAATGGGAGTAAAGACAGTACTTCTCCATGGAAACTAAAATCAGATGATACATGTAAAATCATTCCTGGTTGGCATAAAAGAATCCCGGGTAGTGTGGTGGATTAAGTGTCAGAGTGCTCACCAAAGGTCATCGGTTCGAATCTACCATTCCCTCTGAGGGAGAAAGACAATCTGCTTCTGTAAAGGCTGACACCCTAGGGACCTCTGGTGGCCTTGTGGCAAGAAGCTACACTGCAGTACCAAAGGTGTGCAGTTCAAATACACCAGATGCTCTAAAGAAGGAAGGGCAATCTTCTCCTGTGTAAGTGGGATCAGATTTGATGGTACACACAAGGGGAAAAAGAGGAGAGGAGAGGAGAGGAGAGGAGAGGAGAGAAGAGAAGAAAAAAGACTGACATCCTTTATTGGGGTTCACTCTCCAGAGGGAGTCATTCAGGATTCATATTTACGAAAAGACCAAAAGACAGACTAAAAGATCTTGTTGTTACTGTATGCTGTTGAGTTAGAACACTCCAGGGGGGTTTCAAAGAGAATAAATCACCAGGGAGAAAACTGCCCATCATTCTACCACAAAGTAGGAGGTGGATTCAAACCATGTGTCTTTGGGATTGCAGCGCAACTCGTTACTACTAGGCCACCAGAGCTCATCAGTTTCAGTTTCCTGTTGTTGTTTTATGTTGTTGAGGTGTCTGTGACTCACAGCGACTCTATGCTCTGAGCTCTGAGCTCCGTCCTATCCTGAGCCAGTCTCCCTGTCTCCAACACACCTGCCCCCATCACCCTGGTCACTGTCAATCCATCTTATGCAGTGTCTTCTCCTGCATTGTCCCTCCTGCCAGCATGATGGCCTTCTCTAAGGACTGGTCCCTCCAGACCACATGCCCAAAGTATGTGAGACAGAGCTTCAAAACACGTACAGACCGAGAGAGGCAGTACTGCAACAGTCCAGTGGCAGCGGCAGGCTGAACCAGAAGAAATTATAGTGAGGGTGGGGACGTAACTATTTTATACCCTTATCCAAACAACTCCAAACATACAGTTAGCTTAAGAATTGCACACACTGATGAAAAATATGGACGTCACACACTGCTTACAGGAAAAGTCATTATGTACTTGATAAACATCTTGGGTCTGTGAGCATGGCTAAAAGCAGATCAGTTTGACCCGGAGTTATTTATAAGACAAGAAACTAGAAAAAGAAGGCAAATAAGAATTTGATGTAGGCTCACATTGTTGGAAACGCTTCATAGAGCAACCACATGGTTTTGCTTTATTGTTGTTGTTGTTTTGCCGTCAAGTAACCTGTGACTTCATAGTGACCCTATGTACAACAGAGCTAAACCCCACTCTATCCTGTGCCAATCTTATTTGTGTTTGTGTTTGTGTGTGCACGCACCAATTTTATTGTCTCCAACACACCTACACCCAATATCCCAATCACTGAATCAATCTATCTCATCGAGGGTCTTCCTCTCCTGCACTTTCCCTCCACCCTCCCAAACATAATGTCCCTCTCCAAGGACTGATCTCTCCTTGAAACATGTCCAAAGTATGTCAGACAAAGCTTCAGAATCCTTGCCTCCAAGGAGCAGTCTCTCTTGGACGAACTAGTTTGTTCTCTTGGCAGTCCATGCTATATTCAATACTCTTCTCCAATACCATAGCTTAAAGGCATAAATTCTCCTTCTATCATCCTTAGTCATTGTCCAGCTCTCTGATGCAAGTGATTGCAAAGACTGATTTTGCTTTACTTACAGAACTATTTTATCCGTGAGAAGAAACTAAAATACAGATTTTTAAAAAAACGTAATCTGACTAACTTAGCACAAGTGCAGCCATTTTGGGGCATTCTGCTAGAACACCACACAGTCTCGCAGCCCAGAGGGCTCGGTTCTCACTCTGTCCTGTGGTCAGCGTGAGTCAGTAGCTAACCGGAAGATCAGAGGTGTGAGTTCTCCCACGGGTGCTTCACTAGAAAGGCCTGGTGTTTTCCAGTGAATGCTGGAGTGTGGTTTGTGGGACATCACAAACGGGAACTGCTTCAACACAGCTGGAGGTGGCACCAGGGGCGTGTGGAACACTTACCGCAGGGCCTGCCAGAAGTGCTTGGACATGACCACTGTCACTGCTGTCCCAGGGTGACAGCGACTGCCTGGCAGAGTGCTAGCTTGGAGGAAGTTTCTGGAAGTTTCCTTCTCTCCTCTTTCTCATCCTGTCTAGCCCAGGAGGCAGTCCAACCATTACCACAAGCCTCAGTCATTGATCCCTCCCAACACCACCACTCCCAGCTCGCCCTGGCCTGGGGGGGTAGGGACTGTTCACCAAGGACCCCACACCAGCCCGGGTCTCCTGCACCTCCAACCCTTGACAAACTAACTAATCAATCAGAACCGTTTAGATCTTGTCTTGGTTAGGAGGATTATCCAGGCCTCATTTTTCTCCTCAGAAAGCCTGGGGGTCCCCATCACCCCACAGAAGCTGTGTGAGGCAGGCTCTCCCCTCCCCAGTCCCCCACACTCCCTGCCTTCATGTTGATTTCACACACACAGTGGCCCTGGGTAGAACTGCTCATAAAATTTTCCGCGGTTGTAATCTTTGTGACCTTTCTCCCTCAGCGCAGCTGGTGGGCTCAAACCAGGGACCTCTGGGTTAGCAGTCAAATGCTGTAACCACCTGGCCTCATCCTCCATTCCCGTGGGGGTGGGGGAGTGTTATTCCAGGTCAGGTCAAGTTTAGAGAGCACAATTCATCATTCTTTCAAGGTCGTGGGGCCGAGCACGGTGCCACAGGAACGTCACCCCAGTCATCCTGTCCCACAGGTACCAGCCCCAGAAGGCTCTGGCCTGGCCTGGCCCCCTGGCAGGAGCTGAAGGCAGCAGACACCATCAGAGGCCCCCCCACACATTCCCCACATTCCCGGCCCTGGAACCAAGGGGCCGCTGACGTGGCAGCTCATGGGTCCATCCCAGCCTGGCCAGACATGTCAGCCCTGGCAGGTGACCCCAGCTGAGTTACTGCCCCGGAGCTGGCACCAGGAGGAGGTCCTGAAGAAGCGCCGCCTCCTCCAGCAGCTGGGGGTGAGTCGTGTCCTGGGCCCTGGGTGAGGGAGGGGCATGGGGGGTGAGAGGGAGCCCTGCGGGGGTGGGACGAGGGAAGAGGGGGCCTCCAGTTTAACATTCATCCCAGAAGAGGCCTTGAGTGGGGGAGGTTACACCCTCTCTCCCGTCACATGAGTGACAACAGCTGGAGAGTCAGAAATGGAACACCTCCCCTTGGGGCCCGGGGCAGCCTCTGGGCTCCCAGCAGGAAATCCAAAGGGGGGTCCGGCTTTGCTGACCCACCAGGGCCCCAGGGAGGACAGGAAAGGGTCTCACCTCAGCCAGGTGGCCTAGGGCGCCTGAGTCTCATTTAAAGTTCAGCATCTCACGTGCTACCCAGAATCCCACCACCATCGAGTGGGCTCTAACTCATAACGACTCCCATCAGGCAGCAAATCTTCATGGGAAACTACCTCATCACTCTCTAGCGGGACAGCTGTGGGTTCGAACTGCCGAACTTTGAGTCAGCAGCCCACCGCTTAGCCTGCCCGCACCCGCAGGCCTCACCTGAGTCCTCATACCCTCGTTTCCCGCCCAGGTCTCCCAGGTCTTCATGGCTACGCTGCACCTGTTCTTCGGGACTTACCTGATGGCTGCAGCCAAGGACCTTCACCTGGTGCTTCTCAAGTCTTGGTACCCCTTCTGGGGGGCTGCCTCTGTGAGTAGGGGTCAAAGCACAGGGTGCATGTGGTCAGCTGGGAGACCACGGCATTTGGGATTGGATGCGGGGTGAGAAACACGAGGCGACCCCTCCCTCGGTCTCCCCAAGGAGTCCTGGAGGCGCAGGACGTTGGGTGTTGGCAGTTCAAGTCCATTGGCACTTCAGTCTCCTGCCATAAAGATTTACAGCCTTGGAAACCCCACCGAGCATCGCTAGGAGCTGGTCTCACACAGCGGAGGGTTGGTCTCTCCTAAGTGCGCATGTGCACCTGAAGGGGGCCGGCACCAGCCTGGGGGCGTAGATTCTTCCACAGGCACCAGCTTGACTGGCTCTGGGCCCAGCAGAGCGTCCTTAGGACGGAGCATCTTTGTGGGGCTCACTCTGTGGGAACACATGGGGTACAGCGTGCAGCTCCTGTCTTGTCAGGGCCAACAACTGGATGGGAGGTGAGACCAGTCTTTTCCAGTTCTCCATGCTGTGCACCCACCGTCACTGCCAACCCCTATCCTCACCCCAAATCCACACGGGGAATCCTGCTTATCCTTAAGCCCCAGCTCCAGGGTGCCCTCCGGGGATGTGCCCAACACCTGGACCCTGCTGTCTCTTCTGTCCCCCCTACTCCCACCGTCCCCACATCCCACCTTGAACCATGCGTGAGCTGCAGCCGTCCACACCCACAAAGCCGACTCAGCCCCGTGTTACCAGGACTGGTACGTGGTAGGTGCTCAGCAAACGTGTGGAAGGATGCGTGGAGAAACAGTCCACAGACCTCAGAACCAAGAGTTAAATATCCTCCAAACGCAAGGATCCAAAAAAAGAAAGGGTTGCGTGGAGCGGGTGTGGCATCTCTGGCAGAGGGCTGGACAAGGCAGCTGCTGTGGGGTCATTCAGAGGACAGCCCCGTGGGTTCACAGCACCAGCAGAGGCTGACTTCAGGAACAGGTCACCAGGCCTTCCTCCGGAGGCACCCCCTTCCGGTTAGCAGCAGAGTGTGTTAACCATTTGTACCCCTGTGGGCATCCCAGGGGGATGGCTAAACCCACCCCGCCACACCCCACTGCCATCAAGTGGATTCCAGCTCAAGGCGACCCTCCACTGAGTTCCCCGGGCTGTAAACATTCCCAGGAAGAGCCTGGCCAGCAGCTTCCTCCCAAGAAGCAGCTGGTGGATTCGAACAGCCAATCTTTCCATTAGCAGCACAACACCTATTGCACCCTCCAGGGCTCCTTAGGATGACAGGTGAAGCTTTAAAGGGGGCAGAGCCGGGCATGGGGACAGCCTGAGCGCAGGGCACATCCCAATGCAAGGTGTGGAGGTGGGTGGGGCTGGGCCTTGTGTGCTGACTCCAGGGACCACCAGCCTGGCTGGGGCTGCGGCAGCGTCAGTGAGCCCAGCTGTCCCTCATGGCAGGAAGGGACACTCTGCCCTCTCAGCCCCCAGGGCCGGGAAACAGCGTGAGGGGGCTGGTGTATACCAGTGTTTTAACGAATGCCGCCTTCTCTCCTGTTTTTCAAACCTGGCCTGCAGTTCTTCTTTTCCGGAGTCGCGGCGATAGCAATGACAGTATTTGGTAAAGCATACCTGGTAAGTGGCAGCATCCCTCCCATGCCAAGTCTGAGTGGCCGGCAAGAGCAGGTGTGTGTGGCGGGGTCTGGCAGGCAGCTCTAAGGGATTTTGCTAGGACAGGATCATACCTTGTAGTCAGGAGAAGGCTGGCACACAGCGGTACCCTGATGCGGACAGGCTAAGGGCCGTGGCAGCACGAGGACAAAGAACCCAACAGACTTCATCTTCCCAGATTCTCCAGCTTGTGGGAGATGGCCAAGTGTGGTCAGGAGGGGTGGGACAAGGAGGAAGGTACGCAGCTACCCCAGACCTAGAACAAGACTTCTTCCTCCTGAATTGACCTCATCTGTTGTTGTTGTTGTTGTTGTAGATATTTTGTGGAGTCTGGAGGGTATACCTGCTATTACTGTTTTTGTTCTATATTTGCTTTTGTGTGTGTGTGAAATTATACCCATTCTGTTTCATGACCTTGGTCGTCATCCCCTTAATTTAACAGCACTCATCCCACTTCCCCCTGGGCTCCCCCTTTTCCATTCATCCTTCTTTCCTGTGGCCTCTGCTTTGCTTTAAGGCAAATGTCAATCTGACCTAGTTGTGATCTCAGTCACCATGTGATCGTCCACATGGTGGAGTCCTGAGCCCCAGCTGGAAGTCTGAGAGCTCTAGTTGACTCTCTGACTCTGCCCTTTTTCTCCATCCCATTACCCTCCACCACCCCAGCTCCCACCACCATCATCCCCAGACAGATCCATCCCTGGCCCCTCAGTCCAGGAGCAACCTGGATGGTTTTTCCTCAAATACAAGTCACCCTGCAGCACTCAAGGCCTCCCTGGCCCCCAGGGCCCTGACTGGCCTCCAGCACCGTCTCAAATCCACCCAGCAGCAGGGTTTCCATGCACTTTTCCTCACTGATGGCCAGCTCAGCAGAGCTACTTTCTGCCACATGGTCCCCACTGCCCTAGCGCCCTGTCCACTCCCCACTGCTCGTCTCTCTTCTGTCTTTGACTTAGTCCTGGTCACTCATCAAGACTCCGCTCACAGATTCTATTCCTCTGCAAGTCTGTCTGACCCACAATGATTGCTGCTGTGTTCCCAGAGCTTCTAGAACATTCTTATCTCCTTGTCTGTCTCCCCTGACACTAGCCCTGTGTGGGCAGTGGATGTCTGAACATCTTTGGCGCCTAGATAGGCACAGAACTGACCCAACACAAGACTAGATGGAACAGGGAAGGATGATGGAGGCAGCATCCCTACCAATCGTATTCGTGGTCGGAACCCACAGCCTTGGGCCCCTGCCCTTCCCCACACCTCTGTCCCGTAAGACCCGGCTTCGTCCTGCCCAGGTTGCCTGGTCCTACCAAGGTGCCTGGTCCTGCCTGGGTGCCTGGTCCTACCCAGGGTGCCAGATCCTGCCCAAGGTGCCAAGTCCTGCCCAGGGTGCCTGGTCTTGGCCATGGTCTCTGTCACTGCTAGGTCAGCAGGCTCATGAGAAGGTAAGATCAGGGAGGTTTCCAGGCACGCTGGGCAGAAGCAGGCATTCTGGGCCCACCATGCCTTGTCCTGTCCAGCATGCCTGGTCCTGCCCAGGATGCCTTGTTCTGGCCATGGTATCAGGTCCTGCCCAGGGTGCCTGGTCCTGGCCTTGGTATCAGGTCCTGCCCAGCGTGCCTGCTTCTGCCCAGCATGCCTGCTTCTGCCCAGTGAGTCTTGTCCTGCCCTGGAAACCTCCCTGATCCTACCTTCTCATGAGCCTGCTGATCTAGCAGTTACGGAGACCATGAGCATCCTTTACCAACAGAGGCAGATGCTTAGCAAAGACACGCCCGCCCTCCACACTTCCCTGTGGCAGACGGGCCCCTTTCAGAAACATTACCTCACTGTTCCTATTCCTGTGCACAGAGATATTCTTCATTCTTCATTCTAGGATTCATTCTAGGGGGTCCATAAGTTCTTACTCTTCCCTCATTACAAAGGAGGGCTCTGGAATTATGCGTGCCCCAGGATGGTGGGGGCACTATCCTGGGTGGGAAAGGATTCAGTCCCTGGAGTGTGTGGAGACAGGGCACCTCCAGGGCTCCTACCACCTCCTCTGGGGAGGGACCACTGGGTGTCAAGCTCCTGGTAAGCTGGAATGTCTGATGCTGAGAGTGGGGGAAAGAGCATCCTTCTCTGTTGCAAAGCTCGTTACCCCAAAGCCTCAGTCTGTCACCAGCCACTGAAATAAACCAATCTTGGAGACAAGGGTTAAAGTAGAAAAAACAAAATTCATCATAGTTGGTATCATAGTCCATCAGGAGTGGATCCACTTCCTAAACAGCATGGCTCCAGAAACTCTATGAACTTTCATAAATGTCAATAGTTGGAAAGAGGCTTCAGGCCTTTTGTTCATAGGGTCACTATGAGTCATGCTCGACTTGAAGGCAATTATCAATAACAACAGTATATCATAGTCTTTAGGTCTTGAAGACTGCAAGGGATGAACACAGAGGGGGTGACTGTAACTAAATGTCCACAGTCACTTCCCTCATCCAGGTGCCTGGACCTGATGACCATGCACTGGACTGTTAAGGTTCCAGAGATAAGCTTCTTGTTGTTGTTGTTTACCACAGAGTCAGAACTGACCCATAGCTGACCCTCCAGTGGGTTTTTAGAAGCAGTTATCATATGGGAGATTGCCCATTTTTCTCCAGCAGAGCAGCTGGTGGATTTGAACCACGTACCTTTGCATTGGCAGCACCATTCCTTACCACTAAGCTACCTGGACTCCCCAGGACAGCTTAAGGTCGTCCGCATGTCGTGACAGAGAGGGAGTCGTGCTGATTCTAGCTATAGGGAGGGCTGAAGTCTTACAAAGGGCACCAGCTTGCTGAGGAGGCCTCTTCAATGAGCTAGCTGGAGGCAGTCGTTGGGGTCCCCTAGTCCTGTCCTGTACACACAGGTCTGTCCATTGAATGGGTCTTCTCTACCCAGCAGTTCAGCTCCCTTTGTTCTGGGCAGGAGCCTTGGGCCCAGAGATGGACTGAATCTTTCCTGAGCCCACACAGCGAGTCGCAGGCAGGCCCAGGAGGCGGGCTTGCCTCCGGGTCTCTGATCTTAGCTGGACAGTTGTTGATTTTCCTTTTTTTTTTCTTTCCGTGCAGAAAGGGTTGTGCTTGACAGCTAATCTGGTCAGCTTCTTCTGCGTGCTGGCCGGCCTCTACGTCATTATCAAGGACCTCTTTCTGGAGAGCGGGTTCGATGACCCGATCTGGGGAACTCACTACACAGTGAGTACCCAGGTCCTCGCACCTGCCTGGCAAGAACTTCCGGTTCTCGGGGAAACCTCTTCTGGGGCCTGATGGAAGTCGGGCAGGGAGTTCCCAGACATCCCCCCAGGGTCAGCACCAGGGAGTCAGCCCAACTAACTTTGTAGATGGGGAAACTGAGGCCCAGAAAAGGGATGGAGCGGGAGGATGGCAGCAAATCCAGGGCCCCACCAAGCACTTGCAGTGTTTAGTATTTTAGCATTCTGTCCCACCACCACCAGTGGCTGCATCTTCGGAGCCAGCCGCCTTACTGGGCTGGGAGTGAGCACAGGGTCCGGGAAGGCTAAGGGAATGAGCCGAGGACACACACAAATGGAGACCGTGCAATCACAACCACGTCTAGCACTTTTCCACGCCAGCACAGAAGAGGTAGAGCTGGTTGTCCCACAGGGTGGCTGGACACCTCTGGGTGAATCCCGAGAGTTCTGCCCCTGTGATGGTGGCAGTTAGATGCCATCGAGTCAAACAAGACTCCTAGCGACCCTGTGGACAACAGGTCTGAACCCTGTCCTACCCTGTGCCATCCTCACCAACTCTGCCACGCTCTGCCTACTGCCACAGTCACTGCATCAATCCATCTCATTGAGGGTCTCCCCCTCCTTCACTGACTCTCCACTTTTCCGGGCATGATGCCTTTTTCCAAGGACTAGCCCCTCCTAATAACATGCTCAAAGTAGTGAGATGAAGTTTCAGCCTCCTTCCCTCCACGGCACATCCTGGCTGCACCCTCTCCAAGCTGTGTTTGTTCTCTTGGCAGCCCAATGGATATTCTGCACCACAACTCAAAGACATTCTTTTGCCATTTTTTCCCTTATATTTTTTATCATTATATCAGCTTAGTTACAAAATTTGAATACATTGTTTCTCACACCAGCTCCTTCTCATTTTCCTAATCCTCCTCACCCATCAAATTGTACGATCCCCTGATTAATTCCCCCCACACTCCTCCTCGCCTCTCTGCTTCCACCTTCACCCCTTAGATCTTCATGCTCATTCTACAATAATGGGTTTTCTTTTGCCATTTTTATTCACTCTCCAACGTTCAGATGCATAGTAATCAAAAAAGATTTTGGCTTATATCAGGTGCACCTTGGTTTTTAAATTGACATCTTTGCTCTCTAGCACTTTGGAGAGGTCTTTGACAGCAGATTTTTCCTGATGCAACACATCTTTTGATTTCCTGACTGCTAGAATCAAGGAAGGGTGTTGATTGTGGGTTCAAGAAAGAGGAACTCATCATAAGCTTCAATCTTTTCTCCATCTAGAAGGACGTCATGCTTGGGAAGGTGGAGGGACAGTGCAGGAGGGGAAGACCCTCTATGAGGTGGATTGATTCAGTGACTAGGGCAATCAGGGTAGGTGTTTCAGAGACAGTGAGACTGGCACAGGATAGAGCACGGTTTAGGGCTGTTGTGCATAGGGTGGCTGTGAGTCACAGACAACTGGATGGCACATAACAACAACAACCACCCTGATTTGCCCCCAGGGTGTTGCCCCAAGGATTTTTGTTTTCTTGACGTTGAGATGCAATCCATACTGAAGACTGTATGTCGTCTTTGATCTTTTACAGCAAGTGCTTCAAGTCCTCCTCAGTTTCTGTGAACAAAGTAGTGTCATCTGCATAACATAGGTTGTTGAGAATTCCTCCGATCCTGTTGCTGTGTTGTTAGGTCTTCCTTATTCACACACACACACACACACACACACACACACACACACATCACACACAAATCCCCCACTGAAGAATGTTCTTGACCCTTGAGGTGTCCCAGCTAGACATTGTCCTTAACCCAGATCTTCCCTTCACCAAGTAGAAAAGACACTGCTCTCTGGTCCTCAGTGTCCATGTGTGTCAACCAGCTTCATGACATGAGCCTTGAGGTCTGTCACCTTAGTTCTCTCTGAGCCTGTGAGGCTCTCTGCAGGACAGCCACAGCCCAAGGTAAACCTCCGTCAACTTTCTAAGGCTGTATAGTTTAATGCGAGCAGACGGTCTTGGAGCAGTAGGTGTCTTTGCATTTGCACTACCAAACTTCCCATTAGCAGCCCAGCACATAACCCACTGTACCACCAGTTGTTCTTGCTGTGTGCCTTCAAGTGGGAACCGACCCATAGCTGGCCCTTCAGAGGGTTTCAGAGGCAGTGAGTTACACAGGAGAGTGCCCATCCTCCTCCTGCGGTGCGGCTGTTGGATTCGAACCACATCCCTTTGGGATTGCAGTGCAGCTTCTTACCACTAGGCCACAGCATGGTGTCAATAGAACTCTTCTCTACAGGGGAAACCAAAAGATTCACGTGACTCACTTTGCTGTGTTGTTCTGTGTATTGTGGAATTCTGGAAGTGAATTCGTATTCATTCCTGTCCTCACCACGGACTCCTTACGGAGAACTCCAGACAGAGGACAATGATTGAGGCTGCCACCCCCAGCAGCCTGCAGACCCCATTACCCATGACACCTGGGGGCCCTGCCAGTGCCCACGGGGTGGCTGCAGACGCCCAGCGAGCCCTCTCTCTCCCCATCCCCAGATCCACATCCAGAGGCTGGAGCTGGCCCTGTTCTCCTTCACATGCCTGGAGTTCATCCTGCTGGGACCTATGGCCATGGTGGCCTGGAAAGTCGGCCGCCTGTCTGCAGAGGTGAGGGCTCCAGGGCCCTGAGACAGGGGCCACCAGGTGACAGAGGGCTCTGAAGGGGAGGCCACAGGCAGAACCCAGGTCTGCTGAATGTGAGGTCACAAATAGAAACCACTCTTGGTCCAGTTGGGGTCACGGGGTAAAGAGAAAGGAATCCAACCCAAGGGGACAAGTTCAGGGCCGTGTCATCATCCCTAGTGCTGCTGTCACAGACATGCCACAGTGGTGCTTTGAAGGACAGACATCCAGTATCCACGGCTCAGGAGGCAGAAAGTCCTGGCTCAGGGGGCCCTGTCTCGGGGAAGGTCCTTGCCTCTCCCACCTTCTCCAGCCTCAGTGTTCCTTTGTTCTTGGCCGTCAGCACATGGCCTCTCTCTTCTCCCATGTGTCCAGATGGCTCCTTAGAGCTGGGCCAGGGTGTCGCCCCGCCACCCCACACCCCCCCCAGTGCTGACACAGCTGTGTCCGCCCAACGAAGAAAAGCTGCTTCCGTAGGACACCGTGTTGACAGCTGCGTTCTTGTGCCAGCGAGTTTGTTGGCAGCCGGGCAAGACGATGCGGACCTGCCCCATGGGGTGTGTCGGGGGGGGGGGAGCAAGGCTGCAGTTCTCTACAGAAGCCATTCACCAGGTTCACTTTATCAGTTCTGCCACAGAGAAGCTGTGATGATGATGATGATGTGGTTAAGGCTTTCAGTGCTTACCAAACCCACCAGTCCCTCTGTAGGTGCTTCTGTAAAGATTTCAATTTAAAAAAAAACCCAAACAACAACACCTCAAATTCCCTACCATCTAATCAGTTCTGGCCCACAGCAACCCTGCATCCATCTGGTTTCTGGTGCTATAAGTCATGCAGAGAGGACACTGGCCATCTTTCTCCTGCAGAGCGCTGGTGGGTTCAAACCACCTGAGACACGCAGCTGTTGGGTCAACAGCGCAGCAAGTGGTGCCACCAGAGTGCCCCTGTGAAGAGTTACAACCTTGGAAACCTGACAAAGATCGTTCCTAGGGTCACTCAGAGTCAGAATCTGCTCACTAAGCCAGAATCTGCTCACTAGCAGTGGATTCTTCTCTGCTAAAAAGTGTGTGGTGGGTTCAAACCATCAACCTTGTGGCTACCAGTCAAGCACTTTGCCCTTCTCCCCAAACCACAACCCCAGTGCCACTGGGGGTCAGCTTTGACTCATATCGACCCTGTAACGGCTTCTGAGGCTGTAAATCTTTACCAGAGGGGCTGCCCATCATTCTCCCTTGGAGAAGCTGGTGGATTTGAACTGCCAGAGCAGTGCGGCCAGCCAACCGCTGGGTTAACAGGCTGACTCCCTACAGGCCAGGCCTCCAGACCCACCCCCCACCCCACCCCCGCTCGACTCTGCGGGGGGCGGGGGGTGTCTCTCCAGCCTCTGACACTGGCCAGCAGTGAGTCCCTGCGCCGTTTCTTTAAAGGACAGAATTCCATGATACCATCTCAACACTGAGCACCCGGAAGCCAGCTCATCATAGATTCCTGCCCCTCTGGGTTCTTCCCATCAGCCTCGTGGGCCCAGAGCAGCAGTGGCTGATGGCTGTTTCCTCTTTATTTGCAGGTGGACAACTCATCCCTTGTCCTCAACCCCCCACTTGAATTCAGTAGTCAGTGGGTGAGACCCCCACCCTCCTATGAAGATGCAGTCCGGGGCCACCCCGAAGGCAGGCAAGAGATTCCAGCTGTGGGCCCCCTGGGCCTTCAGAATTCACTCCCAGTCTCTTTTCATCAGCAGAGACCAGGAATGGGGCAAACTGTGCTGTTCTAGAACTGTCCATCCTGGGTATGATGGCCAAGATGTGACCCTCAGCCCCTCAGAATAAAGAGGACCCAGGACACCTGCCCCTCAGTAACCTCACGTGATTGGCCACAGCTGCCTCTGAACCAGAGCGTGTTCTGGGGGCTACTCACTACCCCTGCCAGTCCCCAGGACGGACTCCGGGGCCAGCCACACCTCTTTGCCAGAAGCCTGCTTCACCCTCTGCCCTCCCTGCCTGCTGCCTCCAGTGCGCAGAGGAGAAAAACTCAAACTCGGCTTCATTGCCATCAAGCCATTGCCGACTCATACCTGCCAATCACAATGGTGGCGGCTGCCCATCTTGGTGTCTCGGAGCCGCTGATGAACTTGAACCACAGGAGCCTCGCAGCCCTTTGGTCAGCAATGCAACTTGCTACAGACTACACCATCAAGCTCACTAACTGGAAGAGAAGGGGGGCTTTTCCATGTGGGGCTGGGGGGTGTGGGTGGATCAGAGCAGAAGAGGCTCCTCAGAGCCAGGAGGCAGCATTCCCGCATCGAGGTGGGGGCTGCAGGACCACTGAATCAAATGGAAATCACAACCTTAAGTTCTTTGTGAGCGTCAACTTCCCAAGGACACCGGGACAGTGCTGGAGTAACCAGTGCAGCATCCACGGGCTGTGGGAGCCCCTGGAGGCTCGGCCTTGGCCTCAGTGTCTCGATCTATTAAATGGGGGCAGCGGGAGTGATGACCTGCAGGAAACCCCCCAGATCCAAAGCTCCAAGATTGGCAGTGCAGTTTGAGGTTCTGCCTGAAGCCACCCGTTAACTGTAAACCCGGAATCCCAGCCCCCCTCCCGGTGCTGAGGAGACAAGGGGAGGAGGGGAGAGCTCTTCCTCACACCCACATTTTCATCATCCCAGGACAGTCTCAGTGGGTTTTGTTCATTTGCATACTGAATGGTATTTGCTTTCTGTTTGCTTCCATCCTTGTTTTCTTACCTGATTTCAAAGGGAAATAATCTGTATCAGGAATAAATAGGAAAACAAGCACCTCTCCAAAAACAGGACCCAACTACTAAACAACACAAATGCAATGCAAATAAAGCAAAATGTGATGCCCCACGCCCTAAGCTCTAGAGCCATCTCCTCCTCCTCATTCTCTTGCTCGCCGTACTACAGCCTCTTGGCTTTGGCTTTGTGTTAGACTGGAGAGGAAGACCCTCAACGAGACGGACTGACAGCATGGCAGAGGGTGTGAGGGTGGTGTCGGACTGGGCAGGCCGCCATCCTGCTGTGCTGTGAGTCAAAGCGACTTGACGGCACCCGACAACATCAGTACAGGTAGCTTCAACAAAGGTGGGAATGGTGCCTGTGTGATTTATATGTACGCCGTAAATCAACAACTAGAATAATTATCCAAGCAGTTTCTCCTGCAAAGAGCGTGGTTTGTGGCCTCTGTGGTAGCCGGTGGAAGGTAGTTCAGGGTTAGCCCCCCTGGGATGAGCCAGGTTGGAAGGCCCTGGCACTCTGGGCGTAACAGCAGTGCCATAACCAGCGGGAGCAGTTTCAACCATGACAGCGTGGCTACTCAGCCCAGCAGCAGGCTAGAAACAGGAAGAATCTCTGACTGCTATAGAGGCTCTGGTTAAATTTATCCACATCTTTATAAGCTGTTGTTATTGTTAGGTGCCATCAAGTTGATTCCATCTCAACGCAACTCCGTACAACAGTTAAGTCCCTCAGTGTAACAGCACCCTTCCCACTTCCTCCCTGTGTTTCCTGTTTCCAAGGATCCTTTCCTAGCCCTACCTGCCTTCTGAGTTTTATTCCTGGATAGATAGATGCTGCTCCTATGATCTTGTATGGTTTACCATTCCTGGGATATTATTGATCATAGAAGCCTACCTATTTTTTTAACTGAAAGTTGAATTATGGGAATTAGCTATATTTTAGGGTCTCCCCATTGCCAAGAGTGTTGACTGTGGAGCCAAGCAAACTAATGCTGTTAACAATCTCAATCTCTTCACCATCCATACTGATGCTGCCAATTGGCCCAGTGGTGAGAATCTTTGTTTTCTTGACATTGAGCCTCAATCCATATTGAAGTCTGCAGTCCTTGACCTTCTGCAGCAAGTACTTCAGGTCCTCCTCAGTTCCAGCAAGCAGGGTTGTGTCATCTGCTTAACACAGATTGTTGATGACTCTTCCTCCAATCCTGATGCCACACTTCTCCTCATACAGCCTAGCCTCCCAGATTATTGTTCTGCATATATAGGTTCAAAAGGTATGGAGATATTACACATACACCCCTGGTATACACCGTTCCCAATTTTGAACAATGCAGTGTTTCCTTGCTCTGTTCTGATGAATGCCTCAGGGTCCAAGTACATATAGTTTTCGCATTAGCACAATCAAGTGTTCTGGGATTCCCATTCTTCTCAGAGTCAGCCACAGCTTATTGTTAACAGCTTTAGTTTGCTTGACTCCACAGTCAACACTCTTGGCACCAGCATCCAGGAAGTTAAAAGACGTATTGCGATGGAAAAGTCTGCTGTTAGGGACCTCACCAAAGTACTAAAGAGCAATGGTGTCACTCTGGAAACTAAGGTGTGGCTGATACAGGCCATGGTCTTTGCAATCACTTGCTATGAGTCAGACAGCTGGACAATGACTATGGTGGATACAAGGAGAATTGATGTCTTTGAGCTGTGGTGTTGAAGAATAGTATTGAGAATACCATGGACTGCTAAGAACAAACAGATTCATACTGGAGAGGGTTAAACCAGGCTGCTCCTTGGAGGCAAGGATTCTGGGGCTTCATCTGACATACTTTGGGCATGCTGCAAGGAGGGGCAGGTCCTTGGAGAAGGACATATGCATGGGAGGGTGGAGGGACTGTGCAGGAGAGGAAGACCCTCTATGAGGTGGATTGATTCAATGACTGGGGTCATTGGGATGGGTGTGTCAGAAGCAGTGAGATTGGCTCAGGATAGAGCAGAGTTTAGGGGTGCTGTACATAGGATTGTTATGAATTTCAGGCAACTCAATGGCACATAACAACAACAACAACAACCCCATTGCCACTTCCTGAATCTTTTTAATCCAAAGTTGGTTGAATCTTCAAATGCAGAACAAAGACATGGAGGGCTTATGTATGTATGTAACCATACATACATTTTAATGTAACCATCTGAAAGTAAGCTGCCAACAACATAACTCTCATCTCCAAATTCTTCTGCTTTTCCAAGGCCATTCTCCCATATCATCACTGTACCATTATTATGCTAAAAAAGAAAGCATAAATCCATGACACTATTAAAACCCTTCCATATTCAAATTTCCCCCACAACTTACTCAAACCCACAGCTACTGAGTCAGGTCTCACTCAGGTCCCTCTACGGGGTTCCCAAGAGCGTAGATCTTTAAGAGAGGAAGTTGCCCATTGTTGTCTCTCAGAGTGGCTGGTGGATTTGAACCACCAGCCTTTGGGTAAGCAGCCCAACATATAACACACCACACTATCAGGACTCCTTCATTTTCCCTTGTGGGGCCAAAATTGGGTTTTATTTTGGTTTGTTTTTAACATGGATTCACTGAGTTTTGTGCTTATATTTGATTGTTCAATCACTTTTAAAAAAAGAAATCTAAACACTCCTATTGTCTCCCACCACCCAGTGGTATGTGTTTATCTAGTTTTGCACTGGTGGTGTAGTCCTTAAGGAGTTGTACTGATAACTCAGGGGCGGGGCGGGGCTGGCAGTTTGAATGCCGCAGTGACTCCTTGGACCAAGGCCAGGCAGTCTCCTATGTGCGAGTTACAACCTTGGAAGCCCACTGTTACAGGTCGGTTCTGACTCGGGAGCAGTAAGACCGAGAGCTGTAACAGAGACGCCACAGATGATGGTTTGCTCTGCTTTATTTTGATTAGTTTTTATATAATCATTAATACACATTGTGTTCAGTCATGTGCACTGTTTAATACATTCACATGCACTGTTTTACATACTTAATTACTATTGATCAGTGCCTTTTATCATTCTATCTTGTCAAACCCCAATTATACCTTGCCTGTTCCTTCCTTCCTTCCTTCCCATTCGTCGACTAACCTCTGCTGCCCTGGTGTCCCCCTCCCCGCTTCTTCCACCTCTCTTCTCCCCCTCCTCCCCCTTCAGAGAGTTATACATAGCCTGTCCCTGTTTGTGCAAATGATGGTTTTCATACACAGAGGTTTGTTCTCTTGCAGTTTGTTGTTGCTGTGCACTGTTGAGCTAGAACCAACCCATAGCTGGCCCTTCAGTGGGTTTTCAGAGATAGTAAATGGCACGGAAGGAGATTCCCCATGCTTCTCCTGTGGAGCAGCTGGTGGATTGGAACCATGTACCTTTGGACACACGGTTCTTACAATTTAAGTTGTTGGAAGTCTGAATTCAAGATGCCCCATCCAGGAGGAGGCCTGCAGGCTCTCTGTTGGTTCTGAAGGAGAAGTCCTTGTTTGCCTCAGGGTCTGTAGGCCGGGCATTCCTTGGGGACTCCACGTGCCCTGCCACGTGCCTCAGTATCAAGGAGATTGCCGGTGAGGACACCGAGTCCAAAGGGATGCGCTCAGCTCCTGACGATTCTAACTGGGTGGTACTGAGATTGCAACACTCCCATCCTGCTTGGCTCACTTTCGTCCCCTTTTATTTCTAGTGAGATAAAAGTTATCACAGGCCACACGTTAAGGAGCTTCCTCTTACATGGGATACTGGGTTAGGGCTGTGATGGAGTTAGGGAGGGTTCATTCTATCCTTAGTCCTTTCACAGCGATTTCCTTTATCAAGACCATGGGGAATCACTACATAGCTTCCACGTTATATCATTGTTGGTTTTTTTATGTGCCCTCATGCCAACTCCAACTCATAGCAACCCCCTCCTGAGCCAATCTTGCTGTCTCCAACACACCTACCCTCCATTGTCCCAGGTACAGAGTCAACCCATCTCACCAAGGATTTTCCCCTCCTGCTCTGTCCCTCCTCATTTCTAAGGGTTATGTCCTTCTCCAAGGGCTGGTCCCTCCTGGCAACATGCCAAAATATGTGAGACAAAGCTTCAAAACTATTACCTCCAAGGAGCAACCTGGTTTCACCCTCTCCGAGACAAACTTGTTTGTTCTCCTGGAAGTCTATGGTGTGTTCAATGCTCTTCTCCAGCGCCACATCTCAAAGGCATTAATTCTTCTTCTGTCATCCTTAGTCATTGTCCAGACCTGTGATACATAACAAGTAATTGTGAAAACTATGGCCTGGATCAGGCTCACCTTAGTCTCCAGACTGACATCATTGCTCTTCAGCACTCTAGAGAGGTCCCTGACAGCAGACTTTCCCAGTACAATTCATCTCT